TGCCTGAGGCGCGGGCCTCCCCCCCCCCCACCCCACCCCAGGCTTTAAATCCATGAAAGCCTATCTAGAGACAGGTAGATCTTTCTATCTGGGCCACCAGAACCAACCAGGTTTACAAATAATCCTTATCCGGCCTGGAATCAGACCAGTGAGATCCCTGGCTGTGGCCAGCTATCCCTCTGACCTTGAGCCAGGTTACTGGGACTGTCTCAACCACAGTGCCTACATCAACAGCAACATGGTGACAAATCACATATCACATGCCTCAGTCACTTCCCAGAGCTAAGGCCCTTTGTAAAATAATTTTTTTTTTTTGTTGAGATTTTTGCTATAGGGCACATGCACTTGCCAGAGGGGAGGGAGGGAGGAAGGGAGAGAGAGAGAGAGAAAAGAGAGAGAGAAGTGATAAATCACCCCCACCCCACGCTGCAATCCCCTCTCCTCCATTCTCCTCTTGGAGCTCTGGGCATGCACACACATGCACCTGGTGTTTCAAACCCCCAAGCCCAAGGCTTGAATTGCAGGTCAACTTTGTGGGAGTCCAGCGACGTAACCATTACGCCATCTGCTGGTCTTGCAAACTATTCTTGAAGATGCAGAGTACAAGTAGAAGTCTTTAAGATCTCTTCTGGTGTGTTCCAATTAAAGCAAGCGGAAACACTTGAGAGGGCGGTGGGAAAGGGGAGAGGAGGAGGGGACAGGGCTGGGTGCATGCTGCACTGTCCCAAGTTGGGATGGAGTCTGCACACAGGGACATAGACCGGGGAAGTGTCATACGAATTTCCTGTGCTTCAGGTGTTGCACTGTAAAGGGGACAGTTGTGAAGCACTGAAGTACTTACCACAGCTGCTCTCAAGTTCTTTAAAAGCACTCCATCAGAAAGTACAAAACTCTGTCCTTTTTATGGTGTTTAATGGTCAAGGAGACAATGTACATTTTTCCAGACTCACATTTAGTTTTCCAGTTACCTCCACCTGCCTGAAGGAAGCACCAAGGCAGCTGCTGGAACCTGCCAGGCAGCTGCATTTGGCAAGTTTGGGATCAGAAGCACCAAGTCCCTTTATCAGGATGGGTCTTGGTTGAAACCACAAACCTGTCTACAGCTGAGTGAATGGCTGGTTCTTGGCCCACTGCAGAGGGTGAAGCAGGAAAGAAAAAGCAGTGGTGACTGCTTGGTATGAGGATTGAGGCACACTGATCGACAACCAGGAACTTCTGAGCCAGTGCTGATCTTGTCTGTGGTACGTTTAATGGGGAGGTGGAAAGGGTTCCATTCAAGAGCCCAATGATCCTCTTTCTCAAACTTGCACAGGAAGCCAACTTTACATGGGAGTGGAGGGTTTTTAGTAAGCTGGGGCTTTTGCCTTAAGTTGCTGCATGTCAGAAATCAGCAGGGCAGAGAGCAGCTGTGAAGCAGAACCTGCAAACCAAAGCCATGGGCTGGCTGCACTTACTCTCACCAAGTCACTTGGCAGAAACCTGCAAACACCAACACAATAAAGTGCTGTGGCACAGGAAACACAGCCCTCAACAGGTGATTTGTCACCATCATTAGCAAATAGTTCAGTGACATTCTGATGCTGTTAGGTTGATGAAAACAGAGCTCATTTGGTTTGGCATGAGCTGGATCCCAATGACAAACTACCCAGCTACCTGCGAGGTACACTGGGACTTCTGCAAGTGGGATGCCTGAAGCCACAACAGGGCATCTGAGAATCCCCTGTGCGGCAACCTGGAAGGTGGATGGTGGAAGAAGGGGTTTGGGTGGGCAGGTGCCGGAGAATGCTGAAGCTAGGAGCTGGGACTTTCCAAGGTGGTTGACAGGAACCTGGGGAAGTTCTCACCTCAAGGGGTCATGTGCACAGAGGGCCAACCTCACATTAGACTTATGCAGCCTAGTTTAATCTAGCAAAGTGACGCACTCCTGGGGAGCAGCTGACTGTGAAGCCTTTCTACACTGATGCTCCCTTCCCTAGAAAGGGCAAAATCCACCACAGGAGGGTGGATACATGAGGGGTGAGTATTGTGGGCCACTGTGATTTTTAGAGGATGGCAGGAAGGTCCCTCCCTACGTGCCACTGAGGTGACTGTGATTTTAGAGCAATAAAAGACTGTTTCAGTGGGAGAGTTTTTGTTCAACATGCTGGTGATATTCCTTCAATATATATATATTTTTTTGGTTGTTTTTATTTTTTTTCATTAAAGTCCATTGATCGTCACAAAAACCCAGGAAATCCAACTAAGGAGAAAACAAATGTCCAACCGAGATCTAAGAACCCAGAGCTACAGAGACGTGGCACTGGACTGCTGGGTATGCACAAAGGGTGGGGAGTGCCCCCACGGGGCAAGGCCGCCGGCCGTGGGAGACACAGCGTGGAGGCGGGGCAGGCGCCGGAGGTTCTTTAAAAGCACTCCATCAGAAAGTACAAAACTCTGTCCTTTTTATGGTGTTTAATGGTCAAGGAGACAATGTACATTTTTCCAGACTCACATTTAGTTTTCCAGTTACCTCCACCTGCCTGAAGGAAGCACCAAGGCAGCTGCTGGAACCTGCCAGGCAGCTGCATTTGGCAAGTTTGGGATCAGAAGCACCAAGTCCCTTTATCAGGATGGGTCTTGGTTGAAACCACAAACCTGTCTACAGCTGAGTGAATGGCTGGTTCTTGGCCCACTGCAGAGGGTGAAGCAGGAAAGAAAAAGCAGTGGTGACTGCTTGGTATGAGGATTGAGGCACACTGATCGACAACCAGGAACTTCTGAGCCAGTGCTGATCTTGTCTGTGGTACGTTTAATGGGGAGGTGGAAAGGGTTCCATTCAAGAGCCCAATGATCTTCTTTCCCAAACTTGCACAGGAAGCCAACTTTACATGGGAGTGGAGGGTTTTTAGTAAGCTGGGGCTTTTGCCTTAAGTTGCTGCATGTCAGAAATCAGCAGGGCAGAGAGCAGCTGTGAAGCAGAACCTGCAAACCAAAGCCATGGGCTGGCTGCACTTACTCTCACCAAGTCACTTGGCAGAAACCTGCAAACACCAACACAATAAAGTGCTGTGGCACAGGAAACACAGCCCTCAACAGGTGATTTGTCACCAGCATTAGCAAATAGTTCAGTGACATTCTGATGCTGTTAGGTTGATGAAAACAGAGCTCATTTGGTTTGGCATGAGCTGGATCCCAATGACAAACTACCCAGCTACCTGCGAGGTACACTGGGACTTCTGCAAGTGGGATGCCTGAAGCCACAACAGGGCATCTGAGAATCCCCTGTGCGGCAACCTGGAAGGTGGATGGTGGAAGAAGGGGTTTGGGTGGGCAGGTGCCGGAGAATGCTGAAGCTAGGAGCTGGGACTTTCCAAGGTGGTTGACAGGAACCTGGGGAAGTTCTCACCTCAAGGGGTCATGTGCACAGAGGGCCAACCTCACATTAGACTTATGCAGCCTAGTTTAATCTAGCAAAGTGACGCACTCCTGGGGAGCAGCTGACTGTGAAGCCTTTCTACACTGATGCTCCCTTCCCTAGAAAGGGCAAAATCCACCACAGGAGGGTGGATACATGAGGGGTGAGTATTGTGGGCCACTGTGATTTTTAGAGGATGGCAGGAAGGTCCCTCCCTACGTGCCACTGAGGTGACTGTGATTTTAGAGCAATAAAAGACTGTTTCAGTGGGAGAGTTTTTGTTCAACATGCTGGTGATATTCCTTCAATATATATATATTTTTTTGGTTGTTTTTATTTTTTTTCATTAAAGTCCATTGATCGTCACAAAAACCCAGGAAATCCAACTAAGGAGAAAACAAATGTCCAACCGAGATCTAAGAACCCAGAGCTACAGAGACGTGGCACTGGACTGCTGGGTATGCACAAAGGGTGGGGAGTGCCCCCACGGGGCAAGGCCGCCGGCCGTGGGAGACACAGCGTGGGGGCGAGGCAGCCGCCGGACAGTTATGTTAACCGCTGCACGATGACAGCGTTGAGCAGGTTGGCTTCCTTCAGGGTCTGGTTCTCATCAGCCAGCTCTTTGTTTGGGAAGGTAGTCATGAGCACAAAGCTGGTGGCAGCCATGGCTGGCCGGGCGTCTACGATGAAGAGTCGGATGTCGCTGATCCTGGAGGAGAGGGGAAAAGGGGAGGTGGTGAGCAATCAGTCACCTTTTTCCTGAGCCCTGCCCCACCCTTCTCCAGAGGGCAGCAGAGGTATCACCTGGAAGCAGGGTAGATAACATTCCTTTCTGCCAAGAACACTGCCTGTTTCTCCCATCTTTCTCAGGATAAGTACCAACCTCCTCACTGTGGCCACATGCCCTAATTTTGTGCACCCTCCTCCCTGGGGTTCTCATCTCCTTCCTTTTGGTTCTTCACTCTTCTCACTTGGATCCCTTTGTAGTGCCCCCCCCTGCCTAATCCCTTCCCATACTCCTGACCACCCCTCAGGCTTCAGCTCAATTCAGCCTCATCAGGACAGCCTGGCCAGCTTCTGGTCGCCAACTCCTGGTATTCCTTCCATGGCACTAATCAAGTGTGTCAGCTAACATTCCTGGGGTAATCTGATTACTCTCCTCCTACTGACCACATATTCCACAAGGGCAGAAAATATATCTCTACTGTATGTCACAGGAGGCACTCAAACTCCCTGTCAGAAAAATTAATCACAACTCTTTAGTGCTGGAATTCTCTTCTCCAGATACTGTTCACTTTTCCTGGAGTATTTAAATGGAAGTTTTTCTGCCTCAATCCCTAAAATCTATGCAATCTACAATCTGGCACATGTAAGGACCTGAACATGCAATAGACAGCCAGAGACTCTGGGCAAACAAAGCCATTTCACCCAGCACTCTGCATGGGCTGTCCACCTGGGAGTAAGGGAACTGAAGCAAACTCAGATCAGCAAAGTGGCTCACTCCACTTCTATACCAAGCCTATGGGGTATCATGAACAGTCCTAATGAAAAAGTCCTGAACAAGCTTCCAGATGTTCTTGGCTCACATCTGGGCTTCTCATGCCTTGACCCCATAGGTAAGCCTGGGCAACACTCAAGAATCACCAAAAAATTCACTGGCCCCACATGTGGGTTCTGACTTAGTCAACCAGTGAATGACGAAATTTAGATACCTCAGTTCTAGAGAAAGGAGGTGCCAAATATATTTACTGGCCAGTCATGCCCCATTAGTTTCTTCACTTGATGGTGCCTCAGTTTCCTCATTTTAAAAACTGGGTTATGGTGGGAGGGGGCACAGTATGCCCCGACCCAGCCCAGGTGGTCTGAGGCAGTAGAGCAGGTATTCCCTGAATCCTCAAAGGCCAGTTCTAGAAGAGACCTTAACAGCCTAGTCAGTTCAGAGATCCCAGGGGAGAGACACTGAAGGAAGCCTGGTGAGATGGTGTTGGTGCTGTATCTCCTTCCCCTCCATCAAACACAACAGTTTTCATTTTATCTTCTGGACTTGGGCTCTACCATGAGACTTTATTTGAACAGAGGTTGGTGGCTAAAAAACACTGAGGAATTCACGCTGTAATTTTATGGGTGAGATATGTGGCCCAAATGGAGGGAAGTGAGTAGATACTGGCCACACTCATGAAGTGTGGAGATTAGGACCAAAGGCTCACACCTGCAGGCCTTCCTCGTGGCTGCCTCCTTCAGGGAAAGCGGGGAGTGCCCCCTGGTGCTGAAGAGGAAGAACAGGTTCATGCTTCCCAGTGCTCTGCAGGGTCTCTGGGCCCCTCCTAGAATAAGCTAGGCCAAAGAACACAGGTACCTGTGGCTGTGGTTGAATTTCTGCACCAGCCTTCCACCATCGGCAAGCCGTATCTGGATGTTTGTGGTAGGCTCTGACTCATCAATCAAGATGGAAGAGCTGGCTTTGGCTTCATTTTCTGCCTGCTGGGCTGGAGAACTGGTACTCAACACCTGGGGGGCAGTGCTGAGGAGAGAGGATGGCATCAGGACAGAGGCAGAAACGAGGCTTCTAGCAAGAAGGGAATTCCTTCTCAGATTTTTTACTGAGCATTTGCTATGTGCCTTGCGGCATTTGGTGCCACTTAGCACAGGACATGGTATCTGGGGCAGTGTTTATAGTGCAAGCCTCAGAATTGGCTGGACCAGGGTCTGAATTCACTCACTAGCTGTGTGGTCTTGGGCAAGTTACTCAAGCTCCCTCAGTTTCAACAAGAACAGTAAAACAAGGATTTATAACAGGGTTAAGGCCACTTGTCTTACTCCATTTTGTGATTTCAAAGGCACTTAGGGTGAGTGACAAACACAAAATGCACACAGAACTCCCAAATCTCCACAACTATTCAGGGCTCCTCTCTTCTAAACCACCTTCTGCCTTTCCTCCTCAGCCTTCCTCTTGGCAGATGACCTGGCCTAGTCCTCTGTGGAGTAAAGAAGCCATCTGATGAGTTCACATGCTTCCCCCAAAGCTTCAATTAGATGTTTTATACCTCATCCTCCCCTCTAATCTCTAGGGCCTGTAAAAGGGTACTTGCAGCAAACCCAACTGGAAAGTGCTTTCCACACAGTGTGTTTCATGGGCCCCTAGTCCCTTGAGATATTTTGAAAAGGTTTAGGAAATGCCATTAGTAGACCAATAGCACCTCAGGCCACTTCATAGTGGGAATAAACCGGCACTAAGTACTTTTTTTTTCCTTTTTAAACAAATTTGCCAGAGGGTACATGTACAGTCTGGAGAGATGAGCAGAGAGAGGAAGTGAGAAGATGCTCCTATGGGAAGTTGTCACACCACAATCCTTTCTCCATTTCTCCTTCCTTTTGGGATTTTGGGCAGGCGTGCATACACCTGGCATGTTTTTCAAGCTGCCAGATCCAGCATTGGCACTGTATATTTGGCCATGTGGGATCAAGTCACCTTAACCACTATGCCACAGACTAGCTTGGCCGTAAGCACGTCATTGCCACAATTTGAGTCTTGAAACTTGACCAATCTCCTTCATAAAAATGACCATTACAGAAGGCACGGTGGGCAGCCAAAGCTTGTCTCCAGGAGCAATGATCCCAAGTGCACTCGTGGGGTTTGCAACTCAAAACCAAACTCACACAGGCCTTCCCAAATGGTCAGATTAGTTCCCATCAAAGGTAAAACCTATAACAATGTTACTATTTAATATAACTAAAAATATGTTCTCAAGATCTTTGAATTGAAACAAACCATTCATTTTAAAAGAATTTTCCAGATAAGTGGCGGGAGGGACATTTGTTATTTAATTAAATAAAATGATCAGGTGCCTGCCAAAGTTTGCTACAGCTGACAGAGAAGCTTACTTGGAGAACAGCTGTCCTGGATAGCCCACAGCCAGCAGTGTGGTAGATGAAATGATGAGGGCAAGGCTGATGTAACTATTTTGGTCTTCCTAAATCATGACCCATTGGTCTAATGTCTTGGGCTCTGGCCCTGGTTCCTGACGAGGCATGAATGGCTAATAGAGAGGTAAAAAACAGGGCCAGATAGAAGCTCCATGGGAACAGCTACTTAAGAGCAAGAGGATATGTGAGGTGAGCAAGGGCAATGGCAACCTTGAGGGCTGTCAGGTCTATAGCAGAGAGGGTGTCTGCTAGGTAGACTGTGGTAGCCTCCACTACACACCAGCCACATCCCTAAGGGCAAGACCCTAAAGTCCCAGAGTCTCAGGTTTCCCTCTGCAAAATAAGGACTATGTTTCTGAGAGCCCCAGTGAGTATAGTTGTCTCAGAAAAACACCGACCACATGGCCCTGTGGCCTTGGCCAAAGCTGAGTGGGCTCCTGAGAGAAAGCAGCCTGCTTACAGGCTGGCCAAGGCATGTGGGGAACTCTTCCTACTGGGGACAGGGTGAACCAACCAGATCCTACTGAGGGTTTGAATGCAAGATCTGTTGCAGATGGTATGAAAATGAGAAGAAAAGGCCAGTGGCAGAGGACACAAGGTGAAAGAGTCATAAGAAGTGAGAGTTTCGGGCAAAGCCAAAAAAGCGAAGAGCTGCTGAGCTACCACAACAGTGGAGCACCAGTTCATGCAGAAGCAATAATGTCCCTGAGGTTCTGCTATGAGGCACAGCTGGGGAGGAGAATGAACTTCCTTATTCTTTTCCCAGTCTCCACATCAGGCCTCAAGTCATTGATGAGATCACACCTTCCCTGAATGCCATAAGATTTCTGAGTCAAAGCAACAATTATGTTATACTTACTGCTTACACACATTATTCACTATGGGCAGTGCTCTATACACATCAGCTCATTTATTCCTCAAAACAGTAACTCAAAGAGGTTATGACTTTTTAGTTCTAATTCGTAGCTAAGAAAACTGAGGCTATATAGTCTAAGGACACACAGCTAGAAAGTGAAAAAGCAGAGATTTAAACTCAGGTCTGTTAACTCTAACACCCACATCCTCTATACTCCTTCTCCCATAAAAAGAAAGCTCTAAGTACCCAAAAGCACTGAGGAACCACCCAAAGCACGAGATATCCAGTACTGCTGGGCCTGCTCTGTGTGACCGACAGCACGGATCCTGCTTGTGCCTCACCTGCCCAACTTCTGACCCTCGCCAGTGAAGGCTTTGAAGGTTCCTTTGGGCTTTACGAAGTCTTCGTCCCGATGGTCCTCCATGTCCAAGTTGACCTGCCCACCGTGCGCTAACCTCCGCAGCTCCGCGGGCACCTCCCTGCAGGAGAAATGGCAATACTGGGGTCCATGAGAGCAGGATGGAAAGGACAGGGATGGCAGTGAGGGGAAGAGAAACCTTTCAGTCTCAACTGTCAAAATCACTGAGCTTTCCACAAGGAGTTGGCTACCTGCCCGGTAACCTGTTTGCTTTCACCTTCTCTCTTGCCTGCTCAGTCACAACAGACACCTAATGCTTACTTGGCCACTTGGCTCTGCCCCAGGCTCAAAAGGGAAACTTGGTGACACATTTGAGACAGCTCTCTAAACCTGTAAACTATGCCAAATGTGCTTGGAAAATTTTACTTCTCAAGTAGTAAACTTTCTGCTTCTTCCTTTCCCACTTGCTTCTCAATTACTGATCTGGGACCTGGAATAGGGCTTATCTGCTCACCCTCTGCGGATAGATTCTAAAAACTGGGCATTGGATGGGTCTTGGTAGCTTCTGAGTTCACCATTGTCCAGGCTGAATCCACTCTTCCAAAGCTTCAGCACTACGTGAACCTGGAATGAGAGGAGGTACTCAGTAAACACAGTCGGGAACCCAGCAAACACACTGATCTGAACCTGCATATCTGTGGGTTTTACTATTTCACTATGTTACTATTCATGTAACACAGACAGACACATATTCACATGCACACATGCAAAGGGAAACCAACCAACTACTAACCAAATGAGCATTAACCTATGATATGGAGCAACTTAAGAACATGGGCTTTGTTTTAAGGAAACCTGGGTCTGCATGCTGACCTGGCCACTCACTAGCTAGGGGCTCTGAGCTGGTCACTCAGTTGAAGCTGTGGCCTCCTTACCTACAGGGCTGCCAGTGTACTTGGTGTGGAGCTTGTGTTCAGCTGAACTATCACGCCAAATCTACTCATGGATTATTTCACAGCCATTAAAAATGGTAGCTATATTTTCTGTTAACAACTCCCCTGTACATATTCACAGAAAAGGGTTTAGGAGACAAAAATCTTATTAGTAGCTGCTACCTCAGGTGGATAGGATTTTTATTTCCTTTTTGTTGATTTTTAGAATAAAACCCAAAATGATTAAAAACATGTATTATAGAACCTAATGGTCATGAGCCTACATGAAAATGTTTGTGGCATAGTGAAAAAAAAATTAAAAATGATCTATATAATACTTGGGGAGAATACTTGGGCACTATGCATAGGGAGAGAAAGTACCAGACAATAAAAAAGAGAATAAAGAATGCTCAGACAATTTCTTTTGTCCATTTGCTTCCCCCTGGCTTCTCACCAGCACCCTTGCCCCGGCAGATGAGGGCTGCATGTAATTCTCCAAAGGTCTCTCTGCTCATGGACCAGCAAGGGCAGTTTCTGCAGGCCTCCCTTTCAGAGGCTGCTGGTTCATGCACAGTATGAAAGCAATCCCTTCTGAAAAACGGCAGAACAGCAGACAGTCCACAAGCTTCCGCAAGGAAGGTTGATGCACACTCACATCTTGGCTGGAATGCCGCCTCCTCTCTCCTGCCACATAGGCAGACTCTTCCTCAGGAGCTGCCCCAAGGCGGTAGCCACCACCTGCAAATGGCTGTAACAGACAAATCCATAGACACTTGAGGGGTTGTTCAACGGAGGTGAGGTGCCCTTACTCAGGATGATAAAGCTTATGAGTGAAAGGAAAGAGGATGGGGCTCTCTATCAGGGTGTTAACTGCTACATCCACTTACCCTTTGTATCGAACTCAGTGCCTGTGGACCAGGTAGTACGGTAAATGAATTAAGTGGCCAGGACAGAGGTGAAAGCTGGAAAGGGGAGTGCTGAGATACTACAGGAAAGAGCTGCTATTAAGCTCTTGATAACGATAGCCACACAGAAAATTGGAATTTATAACTTTTCCAAAGAAGACAGTAACCTATACTTTATATAACAAGTGGCTATTAAATTAATTAAAACAAGACAAAGCAGAATGCTAAGTAAGTCAAATTGGATAAGAAACCAAACAAAATGTGTACAAGACCCAATCCATACCACAGACCACAGATTTAAAAACTTCTCCCCAAAGTTTGATTTTATGATATAAAAGGAGAGAAACTATACTAGTCTTCTGCAAAGAAAACTAAATGAGCAAATAAACAAGATCACTACTGGGGTCAAGAAGGTCTCCTTCTCCCTTCAGAACTTGAGTTCTGTGGACAGACAACAACCCATATGCTCACTCTCGGTTTGCTGGTCTCTCCTGGGCTCTTGGTCACTCGCTCCACAGCTACAGCTCCATGCTCCTTGGCACCTTTAAAAAGATCATCCACCAGCTCGTTGGGACTTTTCTTCCTGGGAGGGCCAACAATTTGCTGTCCACTTCTCTCTGAGCCCCCAGCATAGAACCTGTGTAGAAAATACACCTTTAACATTACCAAACACACTTGGAAAATGTGAACAGATCATGCGGCAGGCTCTGGGCTAGGTGCTGGGCACAGAGAAGAGTGCGATGCCCACCTGGAAGCAACTGACTGGTAGTTGGAGACACATGTAAGGAGGCAGGCAGGTACAATGTAGTGTAAGCAGCAACAGACGTCAGTAAGGGGTCTTTGGGAACACTGAGCTGGGGAGGACAGTGAAGGCTTCCTACAAGGGTCTTGTCTTCTGGGCTGAGTTTTGCAAATGAACTTATCAGGCAAACAAATCAAGGAATGGCATTCCAGGCATGCATGACAGCATGACAACATAGGAAAGAGGGCCAGCCTAGGAATTATTCATATGATGACCAGCACCTCTCCGTGAGATAGTGACTATGGTCAGAGTCACAAGCAGCTACCTCTAGTAACTCTGGGTTAATGGTGGCAGAGGCATGGTTAGTACAAACAGGTAGGCTCCAGTCCTGGTTCTGCCACTGTGTGACCCCCAGTGAGCCAGTGCACTGCTCTGCACACTTTCCCCGCATATGAGATGGGAGGAAAGGACCACATGCCCTACCTACCTGCTCCTAAGTCGAGCCGTGAGGTTCAAATCAGCAGTTGTATGCAAAAGAACAAGCACAGAGTAAGGCACACATGTAAGGTGGTGTGATACGGCACCAGAGCTCCCCCAAGTCTCACCTCACCTGAGGACCCAGTGGAAAGGGTGCTAGAGAAGGTCAGAGAAGCTCCGATCTCAAATAAAAGCCCCCAAATACCCAAGGAATCTTCGCAATGTGCGAAGCATGACTTGAGATTAAGTTGGTACTTTTTTACTTGGGTCTTAAAACCGGCAGTCACGTAGCTGCCTCCTTATCACTCTTATTTGGAGCTAAGTTAGCAGCAGGTCCCTGAGTGGCAGAATTGAGAACCTACAAAAATTAGTCTCAGCTCCTCTTTCCCAACATCCACCAGGGAACACGAGGCAAAGCCACAGGCCCTCACAAGGACAAGTGTTACAGGGCTGAAATGCTGAAGGCCAAGGAAGGGATGAGTATGTGAAATAAGAGAGGGAGGGAAGGTCACTTAGGAGCTACCTGATGACACTGCTTTCAGTCAGACTGTAAAGCCCTGAAATTATCACATACATGTTTATTCTTGAACCTCAAGTGCATCTAATAGGAAGTTTCTGAAGCAGTGTGAAGGTCACAGTATGTATGAAAACAGAACAGAACACATGTAATTTCTCAGCCCACTTCCCAAAGACTGACCATGATGAGGTAAGTGCCATTTCCATTATGGTTATTACACAATGTTCCTTAGGAATGTTCAACAGACCAAGGCACATTCCACGGAAAACCAAAACCCGTGAAATGAGACTGCAGCTAGCTCATTCCTGTTCATTCTGGGAGGATGAAATTCTGCTCAATGGATTGTAGGGTTTTTATTAAGGGACCTAAAGGATCTCAAAGTCTTGGCTTAAGAAACAAGAGGCTGTAGTAAAGAGCCTAAAAATATTCATGCCCTTGACCTTTATTTCCATTTTTAGGAGCTATTCTAAGAAAACAATCTGAAATGTGGGGGAGTAATACAGAAAGATGTTCACAGCACTGATATTTATAGTAGTAAAAAACTGAGAAAATCTTATCATGGGCCATTATTATAACCACAAAAAAAAAACACCTGTGATTCTTTGATGATATGGAGATGTGCTTAAGATGCAGCATTAACCTAACAAAAGCAAGAAACAAGATCTGACATTCACCGTGTAAAATACAATTTAAAACAAAGAATATTTATATACAGAATGAAGTCTGAATGGAAAATGCCAAAATATTAACCATAGTCACCGAAGAGTAGATGAGTGTTACAGTTTATTACACTAGTCTATGTTTTCCACAATGCACATTAATTTCATTATAAAACTCGTAGAGGTAAAAGACAAACAATATGCTTGTGAGTGTATCAGGAAAATACAAACTTATAAATCTATTGTTTATTATGTGATGTGTTGCTTTTTCAATTAAATGAAGATGATGAAAAGGAATACACCAAAAATACTGATACTTGGTAATGTCTGGGTTGTGATATTATAAATGACTTTTTTCCTTCTTAATGATTTGTTTCTCTCTGCTTAATATTCCTCAATAAATATACAATATTTTAATAATTAAAAAAAAAACAAACCCAGGGACCAGCAGGTAGCATGGCAGTTAAAGGTGCTGGACTCCCACATGACCAACCACAGTTCGAGTCCTGGACCTGGTGGCTTGCTTTTTCACTTTCTCTCTCTCTCATCAAACTGGAAAGTAATAATAATAAACAAAGATAAATTTAAAAAAATTCTTTTTTTAAAAAAAGAAAAACCCAGAATATCACAAAAGAAAAAAGTCGCAGGGGACAGGGCTCACTTCTAAGTGGCAGGGAGTAGGAAGCTGTTCCTAGGCTGTAACTTGCCCAGACCAGCCCCCAGCAGGAACGGTGAACAGTAACTGAACTGAACATGTGTACCAGGCCCTGTTCCAGGTTTTGTACACGCTACTGTGAACTTTCCTGGACCATGTCCCCATCAGAGACTCACCTCTGACCTTCTTCCTCCTCCTCGTCCTCATCTTGGTCATGAATGAGGTCCCTGAAGGATGTCACTCTGTTATCACTAGAGACACACAAAAAGAACAAAATGATCTCAGACAGAGCTAAAGATAGATAACCCCATCCTCAGCTGCTAAAGAGCTGAGAACACTGGGGTCAAATATTTTTTTTTGGTGGGACAAGAAGAGGATGTACGTGGAAGAACGTTAACCCTCTCTAATTTTATATACAAAATGCGGCATTTATCTTTTCTTTTTTTTTTTTTTTTTGAGTTTTTTTGTTTGTTTATTTGTGTTTTGCTATAGGGCACGTGCACTCGCCAGAAAGACAGAGAGAGACGAGAGAGAGAAAGCGAGAAGTCATCCCCAGTGGGGATGGTCACACCAAAACCCGTCTCCTCCATTCTCCTCTTGGGATCTTGGGCATGCACACACATGTGCCAGGCGTGAGTTTAAGCCACCGGGTCCGGGATGTGAACCGCAGCTGACTACATGGGAGTCTAGCGACATAGCCATTACGCCAAATGCTGGTCCCCGGGGCATTTATCTTTTCAAGGTCACAGAGTACTAAGGAAAAAGTAGAAAGTGTTATGAGGTAAAATGGATTCCAAATTAAATTCTGGGGGAAGGGGGCAGGGAGAAAAACAGGGTTCTTTACTACTTTAAAAACTTACTACTGAATAACTACTTTTGTCATTCATTTTAAAAATACATTAGTATCCCCTTATCCACAGTTTCATTTTTTGTAGTTTCAGATACCTGCAGATAACTGCAGTCTTAAATATTGACAGAGACCACATTCATGTAACTTTTACTATATTGTTATGTTTGTTCTACTCTACTATTATTGTTTGTATCCCCCTATTCCTAATTTACATATTAAACTTTATCAAAAATATGTACGTATAGGAAAAAAAACTTTGTATTCAGAAGGCTGGTACCATCTGGGGTTTCAGGCATCCAATGGGGTCTTGAAGCATTCCCAGCATGAATAAGACGGGACCACTGTACTAAGGGGATGCCTGTGCATGAGACACTCAACTGCATGCTAACCTAAAGGTAATCAGCCACAGTTCTTACCCTTAAGTGGCTCATAACCAAGAGGTATAGAAGATCAAGAAATTATCTACTATACACTGTGCAACAAGGGCTCTGACAGAACATGGGGCCATGTGAACAGAGCCTCCTGTTTCAGGTGGTGGATGCAAGAAAGATGGGGAAACATTAAGAAAGGCTTTCCTTGGGGCCAGCAGGTGGCATGGTAGTGCTGGACTCTCACATGGCCGACCACAGTTGGAGTCCTGGATCTGATGGCTTGAAAATTACACCAGGCACATGTGTGCAGGTACCCAAAATCCCAAGAGGAAAATGGAGGAAGAGCGAATGCAGTGTAGCCATCCTGTCTGGGGGATGATTTCTCACTTTCCCTTTCTCTGAGCACATGCCTATGGCAAAAATAAATAAATAAATAAATAAAATAAAATTAAATTAAATTAATATTTTTTTTTTTTAAAAAAGGAAGAGTTTCCAGAAAAATTTAACATTTGGACTGACTACCAAAGAACTGGCAGCTGGTCAGTCAGGTGGATGGATGGTGGGGCTACTGGGGAAAGGGAACCAGTACAATATAACGTGCAAGGGGCAGGTGCAATAGAGACAGGCAGAATCGTCCCTCAGAGAAAGGGTGAATAGTGAAAAGGCAGAAATAAAACAGAAATGCAGGTGATGGCCTGGAAGGGAGAAGGTCCCTATCTGCTTCTGCTGTGGGTCAGTCAGAAAAAAGTATTTACTAGTATTCAGGGGAAAATAAACAGTGTTAGCAGTGTTGTATGGGCATGGTAGGGAGGACACGACTAAAAATGAATGTGAAATGGGGCAGCTCTTTCCTCTGATATTGTCTTATACTGTTACTTTTTCCCAGTATAGACCTAACTCAAGGAACCAGCTTATTTATTTATTTTTTTTTAAGGATGATGAAACATATCTATATTACAAAGACCATATTTCTTAGGGAGAAAGCGGAACTTCCCTATAATCCTGGGTGAAGAGTGTGAAGAGTGAAGGAGAGGGTCATACAGGTTTAATGAGGTTAGACAGAGAGGAGCTGTTCACTAGGAAAAAAGCTCCAACTCAGTTATGAGACAATCGGGACTAAAGAGGCTTTGTGGTTCTCCCAACTAGAAACAGGACAACAAAGACCAATCCATGTGGCAAATACACTCCCTGCTTGAGTTGCTTGAAAGCAACCTCCTTGGCATTTGCTGATGTCCATTCATCGTGGTTCAAGAGAATCAACTGATGAGATCTGTACAGTGGCCTGGGAAGCTAATTCCACCATTCATTTCCCCTGGGGGTTTTCCATAGATGTTTAGTCCAAAGTCACTGCAAGCAACTATGCTTAGGATGATATTTACAGAAAAAGAAATCCTTTATCTCCCTCTTCTTAAATACCTTAAAATATACCCTTGTACACGAGCTTGAGTAAACCATTTCATCTGGTTATAGGTCCCCACCCCCTCAAAATTAATATACCCAAACTCTGATGGTATCTGACAGATTCTAGCAACCACGTACCTAGCTCCCATTCTAACTCCCTCCTTTTTGGGATCTTGTGCATGCTACTTAAATTCTCTAGGCCTTGGGGCGGGATGGTGGCACAGCGGTAACACATGACACTCTGCGAGGCTGACCTACATGGGAAGGTTCTGGCTTTGTGTCTGGAGACCTCCCAAGTATATCAGGCATGGACATACCGAGGAACTGGTGCTGGCTGAACCTGGGGATGGACTGCAGTGTCAAGACTCTCTTGGGGGGTACTTTCTCCAATTCTCTCTTGCTCATGGAAAAATAAACTTTTTTTAAAAAAAGAATTATTTATTTAACTTGATTTATTGATTCATTTATTTTAATTTGGCCAGAGAGAGACACAGAGAAAGAGATAGAGGGAAAGTGAGAAAGGAAGCCACCAGGTCTGGGACTCGAACTGTGGTCAGCTATGTGGGAGTGTCCAGCACCTTAACCACCACATACCTACTGGTCCTGAAAAATAAATTAATTGTAAAAAATTCTGTTTCATTTTCTTATGTGCCAGTGGAGACAATCATAGTACCAACTCATGGGCTTCCTGTGTACTGTCAGGGTACAGATACACATAAAGGCCTCGGCACGGTGTGGCATACTTAAGGGTGATCCTTGGACCAGGAGCATCAGCAATATTTGTGAATCTGTGAAAAATACAGGTCCTCAGTCCCCATTGTAAAACTCCTGAACCAAACACTGTGAAAAGGGTGCAGTGCCCAGCAGTCTGGTTTTATGGAATCCTCTAGGAAGTCCTGATGCACACTCAAGTTTGAGAACTACTCATCTGGAGCAATGCCTTGAGAATCACCTTATGGCATGGCTGCCCCAGAGATGTTGTTACCCACTGCAGAATACTTTGTCCTAGCGTCATCTCAAACAGGCAAAGTGTCTCAGAAATTCACGTTTTTCAGCATCAGAATTCTATTTCTCAGGCTTCCCTGACACCCTGAAACAGCACAAAAACCCTTTGTCAGATCACACTTTCTGCTCTTAATTTGGTCACTTTAGCTCTGTGGCAGTGCTTTTTTGTGATGCTGGAAATGTTCTACCTGCAATATCAGATAAGAAGGCCACATGTGGCTATGGAGCATTTGAAATATGGTTCATGCAAATGAATAACTGAATTAAAAAAAATTTTTTTTTCGAGAGGTTTTTGCTATAGGGTACATGTACTCGCCATAGAGACAGAAAGCAAGAGATCACCTCCCAGGGGGGATGGCCACGCTGTAATCCTTTCTCCTTAATTCTCCTCTCGGGATCTTGGGCATGCATGCAGATGTGCCCGGCATGAGTTTAAGCTACCGGGTCCAGGACTCGAGCTGTGGTCGACTATGTGGGAGCCCAGCAACATAGTCATGAATTTTTTTCAATTAATTTTATTTTTTAAAGATGTTTTTGCCTTAGGGCGTGTGCACGTGTTAGAGACAGACACAGACAGAGACACTGAGTGGGAAAGTGAGAAATCACGCCCCCCTCCCCAACCCGGGGGAGGATGACCATATCTTAATCTCTTCTCTTCCATTCTTCCCCCAGGATCTTAGGTATACACACTCACATGCTCAACGTGATTTTCAAGCCACCAGGTCCAAGACTCGAACTCTATTTGGCCACATGGGAGTCTAGTGATGTAACTCTTGGCCATCTGCTGGCGCCTAATTTTAATGAACTTAAATAGCCACATGAGCTTAGTAGCTACCTTATTGGATAGTGTAATTTAAAAGAAACAGACAATGGGAGGGGGTCCCTAAAATTCTAAGAAGAAAAAAAGTACAGTTTTTGCAGATGAAAAAGGTAAAAGATGGAAGAAACGAAACATTACCTCTTGCTTGACCCTATATAAAGGGGTGAACAGGGACATGGTACATGGCAGAAGCTGCTTTGCAATTAGACAGACTTGGGCCTGAATCTTCCACAATAGCAGCTGTGAGTTGATCACTTTCTCTAAGATACAACATCCTGGCCTGTGAAACGGGAAGGACCTTCTCACTCCCAACACTATTGATGGTGTAATGCAGAAAGCAGCTAAAGAAAGATATCTGGCATAGCTAGACAGACAGTGGGTGCTCCTGAAATACTAGCCCTTCCACTTCAGGAACCTCCAATTTTCTTTTTCTTTCTTTCTTTCTTTTTTTTGGAGAGGTTTTTGCTATAGGGCGCGTGCACTCGCCAGAAAGACAGAAAGAGACAGAGACATAGAAAGCGAGAAATCACCCCCCAGGGGGATGGCCACGCCGCAATCTCTTCTCCTCCATTCTCCTCTCGGGATCTTGGGCACTCACGCACACACACCCGGCATGAGTTTAAGCCACTGGGTCCGGGACACGAAACGCAGTTGGCTACATGGGAGTCCAGCAACATAGCCATTACACTGCTGGTCCCAAGTAACCTGCGATTTTCTTAGGAGAAAAAAATAACTTAAATATCAAGAGTTCAAGGTAACACTGGAGAGATGACATGGACATGGTCAAAGCAGAGAATAAATTCTAGCTCTGGGAACAGGATAGTGGTATGCTGCCTAGTCAGGGGTTGGGATAACAATGCTCAGTGGAGGAAGGATGAAGGTAAACATGGAAGAATGTACAGGATCTGTTTGCATAGACAGAAAGCAAGGAAACAGGCATGACTGCTCAGGTGGGGGGCTTGAGGAAAAGCAGGAGAATCAAAACTAAGGCAGAACCGGGATACTGAAGAAATCAGCTTCGTGGGAATAAAGGTTTTTAAAAAGTGAGAAGGGGGAGTAAGATTAGGAAGGCAGGTTAGGGACAAACTCTGGGGAGTCTTTGAAAGTCCACAAGGAGGGGGCCGAACACCATGTGGTCAGACAGTGGGTGCTCCTGAAATACTAGCCCTTCCACTTCAGGAACCTCCAATTTTCTTTTTCTTTCTTTCTTTCTTTTTTTTGGAGAGGTTTTTGCTATAGGGCGCGTGCACTCGCCAGAAAGACAGAAAGAGACAGAGACATAGAAAGCGAGAAATCACCCCCCAGGGGGATGGCCACGCCGCAATCTCTTCTCCTCCATTCTCCTCTCGGGATCTTGGGCACTCACGCACACACACCCGGCATGAGTTTAAGCCACTGGGTCCGGGACACGAAACGCAGTTGGCTACATGGGAGTCCAGCAACATAGCCATTACACTGCTGGTCCCAAGTAACCTGCGATTTTCTTAGGAGAAAAAAATAACTTAAATATCAAGAGTTCAAGGTAACACTGGAGAGATGACATGGACATGGTCAAAGCAGAGAATAAATTCTAGCTCTGGGAACAGGATAGTGGTATGCTGCCTAGTCAGGGGTTGGGATAACAATGCTCAGTGGAGGAAGGATGAAGGTAAACATGGAAGAATGTACAGGATCTGTTTGCATAGACAGAAAGCAAGGAAACAGGCATGACTGCTCAGGTGGGGGGCTTGAGGAAAAGCAGGAGAATCAAAACTAAGGCAGAACCGGGATACTGAAGAAATCAGCTTCGTGGGAATAAAGGTTTTTAAAAAGTGAGAAGGGGGAGTAAGATTAGGAAGGCAGGTTAGGGACAAACTCTGGGGAGTCTTTGAAAGTCCACAAGGAGGGGGCCGAACACCATGTGGTTGAGAGCTTTGATGCTGTAAGGAGAAACAGCCTGTACTTAAATCCTTCTCTTATTAGCTCTGTGATTTTTTTTTTTTAACAGCTTTAGTGTTCAAATCTGTAAAATGCGGGTAATAACAATAGGACTCATCTCACAGAGTTGTGAGGACTAAAAAGATGTGTTTGTAAAGGCTCAGTACCTGGCACCTATTAAGTGCTCAATAAATTACAGCTGCTATTACTGAGGAGTTTGGACTTTTCCCCACAGCAACAGCTAACCTTCTCATGTCTTGCAGTCCCTTGACAACTAGATAAACTGCCAGCAAACTCGTCTATGATTTCAGGTAACGTATAGAACTTGTGTCCATCCCATAAACTTTTCCTAAGGATCTAGGAGCTCCTACAGCAAGAACTCCTGTTCCAGAGTCAAAGGGGAACTCACGATCATACCATAGCAGCAGTGGCAACGTGGAAGGGTATTTGAGATGATGGTGGAGATGGGGAGAGCGCTACGACAGCTAGCTCAGAGGGACAGGTCCCACACAGAATTCCACTGAAGGGATAGCTAGCACATCTGTC